ATAACTCAAAATAAAATTTCTAGCTTGGCCTCATCCTCTTGAGTTCAGCTGCTTGCGGTGTAAGTGATATCAGTGACTATTTTTTTGTTTAGAGAGTAACTTCTCATCCCACTTAACCTTATGAGAAACTCATGGAAGGTGGATCTTGCAAATGAAAGCACGTTTCCTCATCCCCTATTTTAACCCAGCTCTAAGTTCGTACATCTGCTATGCATAAACGGGGCGTTTTTATACATGCTCTGGGTGTAGGTGCTTTAATTAAAGCAGCTCCGAGGGCCACTCTAATTAAAGCAACCTCAGTGTTTCATGCACCAGTGTCCCCATGCTTCAAAACGGCGGCAGGGCGCTTTAACTAAAAACTGTTAAATGAATCCTGCCACCATTTTGAAGTATAGGCACGCTGATGCATGAGACGCAAAGAGTGGCTGGAGCACGCAGACTCAATTCATCACATCTGCTCCGACATGCTGTAATTTCAGTGCTTCAGAGCAGCCTCCTGACACATCTACAGACACCCAAAGTGCATTTATACACATGCTCTGGGAGGGGAGAGGGGCACTTTAATTAGAGTGTCTCTAAGAGCCGCTCTAATTAGTGCCTGGAGTGTCTTGTGCATCAGTGTCCCTGCACTGAAAAATGGTGCCAGGAAGCACTTTAACTAGTTCAGGGATGGCTTGCCAAAACTAAGTAAGCGGCCCTCTGCCTGAAATAATTGCCCACCCCTGGGCTAGATGCTGGAGCACAGTAGTTACCACCTCCGCAGACCTGATTAACCAAGTCTGCTCTGATGCACTGTAATTACAGTGCAAGGGAGCCCCTCCCCCGCAGCTGGTGTACAGGCTCCCCAACTCTCTCTCCCCATTTCTAAGTATGGTGCATGCACAGCCCCCTGAGGGGATTTCAAGCACCACCGCCACCAACCCATATAGGGACTCTTCCCCTCCCTTCCTTTAGGCCCTCCGCCACTGGAAGCAGAAGGGATTCACCTGCCCCCTATCTCGGGGCGCAGTTGTGGAGGGCCCAGGACAGAGCAGAAGAGCAGAACCTGGAAATAAAGGACAAAACCTAAGAGGGGGAGTGCAGGACTTGGTCCCTTCGTCCAGGCAGGGGAAAAGCCCCTCCGCACCCACCTTCGCACCACACCTCTCGGCCATCCACAGATACGCCGACCACGATGCCGGGGGCGCCCACTTCGTCCTGGCACCAGAAGAAAGGAAAGCAGGTGAAGGGCGGGGCGGGGCCGGGCCGGGCCCACCGGGCAGCCGCCACCCTCCCGTGGCGCAGGGCTGGGCGGTAGTCCCGCCACGGGGGTACGGAGCCGCCGCCCACCCGGGGAAGAGCCCAGGGCGCGGAGACCCGCTCACACCTTGATGCGCCACAGCAGGTCCCGGCTCCGCTCCACGGCTCTGGAGAAGGCCCTGGGGGGTGGCGGCTTCTGCTCCGCCGCCGGCTCCCTCGTCCCGTCCTGCTCGCAGCCGGCCGCCCGCCTCGCCCCTACCGCCAGGCCGAGGCC